AAAAGAAAACGTTTGATGATGGAACTTGTTAGATTAGCTTACAGAGAGAAAAATCCCTCCTTTTTTTTTTTTTTTTTTTTTTTAAGTATTCCCAAATCAAATGGAAACCCACTGCTCAGAATGACTTCGAGGCAGGAGAGGCAGGAGAGACAGGAGAATGGGCTAAATGACCCAAATGGCCTCTTTCAATCCCAGCTTGGGGCCCAAAAAGGAAAACTGAGTCCCTCTATTTTTCCCTTTAGCCATCATAGGGGTCCTGTCCCCTCATTTCTCCCACACAGTCAGCCCCAATATGACAAACGTTGAACACATGGCTCCAGATTTTTCACACTAGTACCAGCCTCCAGGCCTAAAAGGAATCTAAATTGTCTGAAGAAATCTAAAATAGACAATAGCAGAACATTTGCAATCTTCCTCCCCAGCATGTGTTGTCAGCTTGGCTCAGATAAACTTATAAAAGGTCCATGGCCCTGTCCTGGCCAGGTAGCTCTATTGGTCACAGCATTGTCCTGATATACCAAGGTTGCATGTTCAATCCCCAGTCAGGGCACAAAGAAGCAACCATATGAATGCATAAATAAGTGGGGCAATAAATCTCTCTCTCTCTCCTCGACATCTTCTCCCCTCTTCTTTTTTTCCTAAAAAAAAAAAAATCAATAAATAAAAATTTCCTTAAAAGAATGAAATAAAATTAGACAATGGCTATCCTATACATGCATATAAAGTTCTACAATTTCTCAAGTGCCCCCTTGGAGAAAACAGGTCCGGGGAGTTACCTAAGTCCCAATCAGAATCCAGGGATGGAGTAGGGCTAGACCCCTGCCCCAGGTCCCAGCTCTTTCCAGACACCGTCCTGCTGTGTCCAGAGCTCTGAGCACCCTGTGAATGCAGCCAATGGCCCTGATGGAGTGCTCCAGGGACCCTGGGGAAGCAAACGTCTTGTCTTGTTAACTCATGGGACAATCCTTTCCCCCATATGGTAAATTGACACTCAGGGAAAGGTGTGCTTCCAGCATGGTGTTTAGGAGAAGGGACATTCTCAATTCCCAGTGGGAGCCAGCGGCAGGTGTGCCAAAGGTCCTCAGGAAGACAAAGGCACCGTGAGTAATGCCACCTCAGCCTAGTCAGGTGTACGTTAGTCATAAATAATCTTCAGGAGTTCTAATTCTTCCTGTTAAGGAAGAGTCCGTTCATTCTGGGTACTGAATGAAGTCATTTTGTGCCTCGGCTATCAATTGAGATTCTTTGGAAACTTGTTCATATGCTTAGAGCCAGTGATACTCTGCTGGGAATCCAGCTAAGGACATAAGCCAATGTTCACTGCAGTGTTACTTATAATGTTAAAACATTAAAATGGAACAATTCAGTTATGGAATAGCATGCGTGTGGTCAAGTAAATTAAGCTCTGAGATAATGCACTGAAGTGTAGTGCCATTACCAAAAATGACATATAAAGACAAATACCAACAGATCTATATATGCCCTGTGAACACATCAGGTACAATTCTGAACACATGAATACAAGACTAGGGAGTTTAGTATACAAAAATAAGTATGTTAAAAATAGCTATGCCAATGGAGTGGGTAATTTTTTTCAAAAATTTTTCATATTGATTTTCCAACTAGAAAGAAAACACTGTTTGCAGAAATATATAGTTTAATGACATAGGAAAATGTTTATTTACTATTAATCAATAAAATGTCTATTATAAAAGACATATGTATATGTAGAACTAGACAAAAAAAGACTAGGTGGATGCAAAAAATTATCAGCAATGCCACTAAGTTCTGGACAATAGATGGCATTTTTTTCTCTATGATGTTATTTTTTCCTAAACTTCCTACAAAGACTGTGTCTCTTTTGAGAATTAAATATCAATAGAAGGAAGAGAAAGAAAGAAAGAAAGAAAGAAAGAAAGAAAGAAAGAAAGAAAGAAAGAAAGAAAAGAAAGAAGAAAGGAAGGAAGGAAGGAAGGAAGGAAGGAAGGAAGGAAGGAAGGAAGAAAAAGGAAGAAAGGAATAAATGAAAGACAGATGGGTGGGTGGGATGGGTATGAATAGATGGGTAGATGACAGATGGTAGTAGAGAGGTAAGTGATAGGATTGATAGAGAGAGAGAGCTCTCTCTTTTCCTTCTTTCCTCCCTTCCTTCCTCCCTCCCTCCCTCCCTCCCTCCCTTCCTTCCTTCCTTCCTTCCTTCCATCCAAATCCCTTTCACTGGGATGAAATCAAGAGCACAACCTTCTCAAAAGAAAAAGTGGGCAGTTACAAATGTCACAGGTCATCTCTGCTCAGCTCTATTCTGTTTCCCTAAGACAGGATGGAAGAGAAGAGCCCTCGCTGGTGCTCTCGCGCCCGTCTCTTGACCTGTCTGCTCCAGGCTACACTCCAGCAGGTGAGGGCAAATAGCAGTGGCTGCATCCCATCCAGTCTTGGAGCCTGAGAATCGCATAAACAAAGGTTCCAGGGTCTTGGTTTCTGGTCCAGAGATGGGCCAGAAAATTACAGACTCAAAGGTTTCAGGTTTTCCCCACCAACATTAAGCAAAATACCTACAGGGCATCTCAGATATTTACTTTATTCATTTGTTCATTCACTTATTTGTTGAGCAGCTACTATATGCCTTGGGAAAATGATTCTGATTCAAGCCCTGCCAGCCCGTCTCCCAGCAGGGTTGTGGACATCTGAGCTGAACATGGACAGTGAGTAGGATGTCGTTAGATAGACAATGGTAGTGAGGGTCTCCCTTGTGAGGGAAAAGCATGGGGAAAGCATGAAAGCATGGAAAAAGAGAGCACTTTCAGGGAACAATAAGCTTTCTGTGCAGCAGCTACACCGTGTGGAGGGGGGTGATGGGGAGCATGAGAGGCTTCTACCATAGGGGCATTCACAGGCAACCAAGCCAGGTGTTAGGGGTCCTGAAGTTTGTACAATTAGGGGAAGGGGCTTTAAAAGGAAAGATGCAAAATAAAATCTTCCTTTTTGCAAAGTTTATAAAAACAAATGGCCACATAACTACATTACCGAGGTCTCTCCCAGGAATCTGCAGAAGTGAGGGACCGGGAGGTACAAACCTCATTGGCTTCACATGAACCCACCTCTGTGCTCATCCTGTGCTCTGGTTGATGAGCAGGCACTGAGGGATCTTAAGGAAAAAAAGTAAAATGATAAAAATCTTCATTTTAGAAAAATAACTTACATCTCTTCATACCCATCACTTATCAGGCAAAGCAAAAGGTGCTCTTGTCCCTCACGGCGCTGCTGTTTTTACTCACAGCTGAGTGAAAGTGAAAGAGCAAAAAAAAAAAATTGAAAGAGTGGCCCCATCACTTGCCTGTTTCCTGCCCTCCGACAGGCAGAGACAACGCCCTCACCCCTACGGTGTGTCCTGGAATGAAATCTGCCCCTTTGGCACTGCTGAGGACCAAGGCCTTGGGCAGATGCTGCCGGACAAGTCCTCCAACCAGCTGATGACCCTGCAAATGCCACTGTCTGCGCAGTGGCCTGGAAGGCAACGAGTTCACATTTCATCTATTTCTGGCCCTGTAATTTCCTCTTTGTTCGTTCTTCTGTCCCTGGTCTGTGGTAGGTGCACACCGGACCACATGCAGTCATTCCACAGCATGGTGGAGCCCAAAGCCTCTAGCTGTGAGACCGTCAGGCTGACGCTGCCGGCGAATGCCTAGGACAAGCGAGGGCTGACGCACCAGCCACCGCTGGCCGAGTCGGGTGGTGGGGAGCCACACAGCGCCACCTCCCACGTGGACCTCAGTGTCCTGGCTGCGCAATGAGATGGATGGATGACAGGGACCAACCTGGGGCTGTGGATGAGAAATATCCCATAAAACGTGCTATAAACCTCCCTACATCTATAAAGTGCTATTAAAGTAATGACTACAGATTATGATCAAAATTGAAGGAGGAACATATGCCCAGTTGGCCCTCCCAAGACCCACTCCTTGGCCCAGAGGGCCTGGGGGAGCGCAAGACGAACCTTGACTGAACAAGTTACGACAGCCACGGGGTGCAGAGCGCCAGCCACCGCTAACCTGCAGGGGGCTGAGGGATCACCAGCTTTCCCAGGAACTTTTTGGCTGGCATTTGAATCCTAAACCTCACAAGAAGTTACATCCTTTCAGTGCTGGCCCCTGCTCCCCGTCTTCGCAGCATTCCGCCCAGCTTCGGGACCCACGTCTTGCTGTCGCACACCCTAACATGCGGAGTAAAGACGGCAACTCAGGGATTTTTCAAACTACTTCAACGTGAAGAAAAAAATAAATGTGGTAGCCTTAAGTAAGCAAGTAATTGGGCAGAATTTATTTCCTATCTTGAGATAACACCTGGTTCTAATTTACAAGTGTGAAAATATCCTGGGGAGAAAAGTGTTCTGCAGACAGACTATAAATTAGTTTTTTCTTCCATTATTAATAATAACAGTGCTGTTTCCAATGTATAATATTAGACTTTATGTCTTCACCATCAACTCAAAAATCAAATATGCCACCCCAATATATTACAACTTTTTTAAACAACAACAGAAAACGCCGATGAGGCATAATATTTCTACCTTACTTGAAAATGTTTTCTTTTTTTGCACAACCAGAATGGTCATCATACAAAAAATGTTTATTTAAATTAAATACTTTAGACAAATCAATATCTACAACTGTTCCAAAATATATGTAGTTCTCAGCAGAAAATGGAACAGTTTAGCTTAATGTCTGTGGTCATGTTTTACAAAATTATTAATACACATTCTGGACTGCACCAGTCAATCATATTGTCAATGGTTTACTATTTATTACCAAACATTGTATACAGTAATAGCATAAAGATTAAGCATGTCTTATAAGTGACTTTACAATTGGACTCCTTAGAAGAAAAAAAAAGGATCATTCAACAATACAAAATATAAGGTGAAAATAATAGGAGAATATATAAAACACTTACATATTTCATACAGGCAATAATATGCTGACATTAAAAGACAACAACTGCCTCTTTGCTCACTGTTCGGTACATTCCTTCAAAGGAGGTCTGAGAGAAGGAAACAATGTTCTAGGGGCAGGGGCAGGGCACAGAAACACTTTCTGAATCACAATGGGTTTCTGCTCTTTGGGGAGCAAGCACAAGGAAGGTGCCATGGAGAAGCTGTTTTAAAGTGCTGTCTGAAGATGTCTCCTAAAGAACCATCTGGCTGGTGAGGAGGAGGAATTCCCATCCCAGCCTTGTGCGTCAGTCTTGGAATCTTTGAATTAGTGGCCAATTCAGGTGTGGAGGATGAGCAAAGAAGAGGGAAAAAACAACAACAAACAATCCCAGGAAAGGGAAAGAAGGAAATAGAGACAGCATCTGCAAAGGAGAGTTGAAATTTTGCTAAAGAGTGTGCTGAAATTTTGCTCAAGCAACCAGCACATTCAGATTAGGGGAAATTCTTTTCAGGTTCCCTGTTCTTTGGGTCATTAGGAACAGGGAGTTGACAAAAAAGTTGCCAATGTCAACAAGAGTATCTGGTTTAGGCTGCACAGGCATGCGTGGAAGGGTGTGCGTGAAGGTGTGTGTGCTGCATCTCTCGCACTGACTGTGTATATTCAGGCTGCATATATACTCTCTTGAAATGTGTGAATAATAATAATAATAATAATAAAAAAGAACATCTAAAATATATTTTTAAAATACAGCTTGAATCAACCTCATTTTCAGTGATGCAGTCAACCCTAGTGGTCAATTTCCCAAATCAGGATGAGAGTGTTCTTTTCTCAAATTGGAAGAGTCCTTTGGATGACTAAGATCAGTTTGGACGGCAGTGCAAGTGCAGAGAGCCCTGGGCTGTGCACAAGGAATTATCACAGGTTACACCTTAAGGAGCTTGCTGAGTCAAAACCTTCTCCTTTGAGCCTTGCAAGAATCCTAAGTCAGAAAACCCTGGAGCAGAAGGGACCTTAGACGTCCAATATGTCCCTCACTTTATAGATGGGGGGCACAGGCTGGAAGGGGAGGAGAGGCCAGCCCTCTGAAGACCCTGGATCCCTGGATCCCAGCCCAGGGTTCCCCACCACCAAAGTTCGGGACGGCTGTATCCCTGCGGTTGCATCAGAAGCCTGGGCAGTGTGAATGCATCTGGGCTTCTCACACATTTGTGTTTGAGATGGGGACAGGGAGGAGAGGTCTGTGAAAATCCCACCTGGAACCAGCGTCTTTCAGCAACGACTTTGCCTTATTCCTAGGTGTCACCAATGAAAACTCATTTGAAGGAATACTCCCAAAACGCAGGCTTCCGGGAGTGGGGCGGGCAGAGAAGGGGGCGGAGAGGGTACTCGGACCTGCGGACCCGGCTCGTAGGGCCCGCAGGGAGGACGTGCCCACCCTGGGCAGCAGCACCTCGCGGTCGGCTCTGCTCAGGGCGCGGGGCGGAGAGCGGCGGCGTCGAGGCAGGGCTGGACGGGCGGCCTCGGGCTCTATGACACGCTGTAGCTGTTGTAGTACGTGGCCGTGGCATCGGCCAGCACGGAGATGAGGCTGGTCTCTGCGGGGCCCGCCGGTGCCGCCTGAGAGCCCGGGGCATGCCCGCTGAGAGCCACGGCCCCTGCAGCAGAGTCTGGGTGGCCAGGAGTGTTCAAATACTGGTCGAATTCATTCCGATCCATGTCCCCCAGGAGTTCCACCTGGCTCAGCTGATCCAGCGCGTCAAAGCCGGGGTGCTCGGGGGGCGGGGAGAGCTGGCCCAGGTGGGCATGGAGGTTGGAGTGCAGAGGGTGGTAGGCGGCAGGGGAGTAATAGGCAGGAGACGGGGGACAGCCGGGTACAGCGGACATCATAGAGACGCCCGGGGACTGGCCGAGGGCCAGGGAGCCCAGAGGGTGACGGCAGTGGAGCGGGCTGGGGCCATACTCCGGGGAGTAGGGGGGCCGGGGCAGGTGGGGGATGCGGCGGGAGTGCGCATGCTCCTCTTGGCAGGGGGAGGAGAAGAAGGTCTGCTCCGGCTCCAGCACGTCGAGGGGCGACATTTCCGGGGGCGTGGGCAGCCCGTAAGGGTAGGTGTCCGTGCTGCCCGGGGTGCCGCCGGCTGCCGGCGCCTCGTGGTAGCAGCCCCGCAGGCTGGGCAGGGCGGCGCCCGGGGAGTACTCACCCCTGTCCTCTTTGTCCCCCAGCGCCTCCCGGCTGGCGCCTCGCTTCTCGGGCAGGGCGTTCTGGTCCCGGGACAGGGAGCTCAGGAGAAAGCCGGGGTCCACGCGCTTGCAGAGGCGCTTGGCCTGCTTCTTCCTGCGCGGGCGGTACTTGTAGTTGGGGTAGTCCTGCATGTGCTGCAGGCGCAGCCGCTCCGCCTCGTCCACGTAGGGCCTCTTCTGCGACAGCGTCAGCGCCTTCCACGACTTTCCTGCTCACACAAGTCAGAGAAGGCCACTATCAGCATCTGCACGGCTTGGGGCTGCCGGCGCACCTGTCTCAGGCTGGTGCCTCCAAGCAGCAGGCACACTCGGTCCCCCTCGTCCCCCAACCCAGTCCCCCATCCCCTCCGCGGCCCAGCCCCTCCACACCCTCTTCCCAGCGCAGATCCCAGCGCAGAAGAGAGGTCAAACCAACCTCCCCTCGCCTGCATGGCGCAAAACCACTTCTCGCCAACGATGCACGCACTCACGTCACCTCTCATATAAAAGCCATTAAATAACAAAAACAGAGGAACAAATATGGGACTCACAGCGAAAGGCCAATGTCAGCCACAGGATAAAATTACAACATTGATTTGGGTACTTTTAACCCTCGGAGAAGCAATTTTAGTTATTTGTGCATTTTAATGAAAATTGTCTGCCTTCATCGACTATTGCTGTTTCTCAGGCAGTGATACAGTAATATTTATTTATGGCATAAATCTCACAGGCCTTCCCATGGGGAAGCCCAGGTAAAGTTCATAGTTTCACAGATGTAATTAAATGATAGAATCTCACTGTCCCTTACATCTGAATGTCAGAGGACCCCTCTGCATGCAAACCTGACCGTGGCCAGAATGCTAGCATCTGCACGCTAGGCATGCACATGCAACAGGCACACATGTACACACACACACACAGGCCCGTGCACTGCAGCTTCCAGTCATCTACTGAGGACCCTTTGACCATGGCAAGGGCGCACCTGCACAGCCATTGACTCTCCATGTGGAAGCAAACACCCCCTAACTTCCCTGGGTCTCTATTTTCCCCACTAGAAAATATATTGTGATACTACACAACTCAAAACTCTCTTTAAAAAGCATCTCACACATGCATCCTGCTGGCACTGAAATGCTGTTTTCATTTGTGTTTCCTATTTGTCCTTACTTGTGTGTTGTTTTGTAATTTGCTTTAGTCTTTCAAAGTGCGTTGCACATCCTGCCAGCTGCAGGTTTTCTGAAGGTCACGTCTGGGCCCCTTAGGTTGTTACCTCCTAGGGTGAACTCAGATTCCACAACTTTGACAAGTTCTCCCCTGACCCTAATGTGTGCTGAAGTTTCAGAGTCACTGGCCCAAAGGACAGGCCCCATACGTTCTGTAAGGAAAGGGGCACACCCCCCACCCGGGGCTCTCTGGGCTGGGCGGAGTAGGGCGGAGTAGGGCGGAGTAGGGCAGAGTAGGGCGGAGTAGGGCTGCATGTGTGGCCGGCCACCCCCCACCCCGTGCCCCTGATGGCTGTCTCTGAAGCTGGGCCTTCAAAGGGGCTGGGGGAGGGTGGTCATTAAAGGTGTCCTACCACTGGGACAAAAGTTTATAACTATTCTGACAGCCATCAATTAATATATTTAGCTGTCACTTACAAGGGCAACTTGAAAAGTGTCAGGAACTCTAGAGTTGGAGCTAACTGGCCTGCAGCTCCCAACTCAGGGCAGAGACCATGATGTCGTGGCAAGAGACCCAAGGTCCAGAGACCCCCACCCTCCCCTGTCTGTGGACCGAGGATATAAAATGTGACTCTGGTTTCTAAGTGTACCTGGATATTGCAGTATTAAGAAAATATAGGTTAATTTTAAATGCCACTAAATGGGTAACCGCCTTTATGCACTTTCTCATATATTTTTAGTATGTACTAAAAATACTAATGCTAGTGGGTGAAGTTTTTAATGTTAACGATTAGAAAGCTTATAGTCGAAAAAGTTGGGCCTCTCACAGCCAGTCCTTTCCTTTCCTAGGTCAGAAAGGAAAGGGCTGGGCGAAATCATGGGAGTGGAAATAGATCATCCTATGAACAGATTAGAAAGACCATGTTTGAAAGAGCAACATCAGGTTGGTTTCCCTCACTCAGTGCCAGGGGCTGTGTGGTTAAGCAGGAAGGAATCTGTGTCTTTCCTGCAAAATGAACGGCAAACTCTGAAAGCCTAAGTGCAAATAGACAGCAGGGATCAGCTTACCGGAGGCATCTGTCACCCCAGTCCCTCAGCCTGCCCTTTCTCTGGAAGCAGGCAGCCTCAATTTTATAAGGCTTCCCCAACCAAGCCCTTCTCCTATCCCTGGTCCTGGGTCTACAACAGAAACCATGCTATAGTCCTGTCACAAGAGCGTCTGGAACAGCATGTAGGACCCACCCCCACCCCCAAAATAGTGAGGGGCCCACAAAAAAAGTATTTTTATTTCTTTAGCAATCTAAGGGAAAAATAGGAACTTCTGGGTTGAAGAAAATGTTTTATTGTATATATTAATTAATTTGTTTTTGTGCCAACAGTGTAAAATACAGTTTTCAGTATTTTTTTTTTTTTTTATGGAGGAAGGGGCTCACTGGGACACTGGCTTCCTGGGCAGGGCGAACCGGCAGGCAGGTGGTGGAAGGCCCTTTGAAACCAGCCCTGGGCCAGCAGGTTTGCAAGGGTGGCTAGACCGCAGGGGAGACCCTCTCCGCAGGCCTGTGGCTCTAATCAGCAGAAAGGTGGGCGTCAGTCCTCAGCCCATGGTTCCGACCAGGAAGGAGCCCAAAGCTCCAACGGAAAAAGGAAACCGGCTTCTTTGGTTTGGGGTCTGCTGGGCTGGGAGAGCAGGGCCAATCTCTGGTGACCACGCACTGTCCCCACTCACAGGGCCTAGGGTCTGCTCACACACGAAGTGCTTTGAAAGGTTTCCACACGTTCAAATGGATAAGTTCTCCATCGAAGGGGCTAAGAGGTTAGGAGGAGGGCGGAGTTGAAAAGTGCTCGGCTCCTGACAGGGGAGAGACAAGAAACCCTGACAGGAACTCCAGTTTTTCGGACGTGCCCTCACATCCTCTCTCGTCTCCCCTGGTCTGGCTCGTTCCTGTCCCCAGGCCGACCACCCCAGCTGGGAAGGCACGGCATCACTAGGGAAGCAGCTGGGGCAGGCTCCAGGGCAGACAGACCCTCACCGGCTGCCCTCAGTATCCAGATAAAGTTAACTAAACTGCTGCGATTGAGAAAGAGTCTCCAATGGAGTCTACTTGCGTAGTCTTTTTTTTTTTTTTCTGTTGCTTCAACAGAAAAAACAGTTAAAGCAGCGATGCGTTCCCGCAAGATCTCTCTTTACGAACATTCGTTAATCATCGTTACCACCTCCCCCTGTGAGGGTGCCCGTGGTAAGTTCACGGAACGACGGATTTCCCACTCCGGTATTCCCAGCAAAGGCCAGTTCTACCCCATCTCAGCGTTTCCGTCCTAGCAGTTCTGCGAGTGCGGGTCTCCGCAGCCGGGCGACTCAGGACTGGACGCTGTCCCGCCCGGTCGGTACCCTAGGACCCCCATTCCTCTCCTGTCTTCAGGAGTAGACCTCCGAGACCACCCCGGGGCCACGTTGTTTCACTTTGGGCCTTGCCAAGGGGTCCCTCCCCCGAATCCCGGCCACCGCTCTCACACCCACGCTCGCATGGATGCCCAGGCTGGCGGGCACAGAGACGCCCGCGTTCTCCGCGAGTCCCCACCTGCCAGGGTCTGCCACCCTCCGCGCGTTTGTCCGGGGCCGCCTCTACCTGCGCCCCTAGCCCGCGACCTCAGGGCGCGCCCTCCCGCCGGCTCACTCACCCAGCATCTTGCTGAGCTCGGCGTTGTGCAGGTCCGGGTTCTGCACCGCCAGACGTTTCCTCTCGTCCTTGGCCCACACCATGAAGGCGTTCATGGGTCGCCGGATACGGCTCTCCGACCCCTTGTCCCCGGGCGGGCGCGGGGCGGCCGGCGGCGACAGCCCATCCGACAGCTCAGCTTCCAGGGCTGGGCACTCGAGCCCCTCGGGCCACGGGTAAGGTCCCAGCAGCGAGGCCATGGCCGCACGGGGGTCGCCTCGCTTCACCTCGCGGGGCCGGCGCTGACCTGGCCCTCGCACTGATCGGGGCGTCCAACTTGGCTCGGAGCCGCGTCCTGTCCCCTTATTTATCAGCTTTGGGCGGTAGCGTCCTCCAATGACTCTTGAAGGCGGCTCGGCCCCTCCCTCCGTCTCGGCGCGGCCCCCTCCCTGCGTCGCGGGCCGCCGACACCCCGCTCCAACCTGCTGGGAGCGGGAGAAAGAAGGAGGACCGCTTCCCATCGCCCGCCCCCAGCCCGCCCCTCCGCCTCACGGGTCCCTCCGGGATTCCGCGCCCCACCGCCCCGGGGCCGCCTCCGGTCCCGCCCGCTCCCGACGCAGGTGCCGCAGAGCAGGGAGGCGAGCACTGCCCGCAGTCACCTCGTCCGAAAGTAGGAGCCGGACTCCAGCCCCCTGACCGAGGCCTCCAAGGGCCAGACTTCACCAACTCCTCCCGGGCGTGGAATCCTACAGAGAATCGAAGCCAAACAGGTTTCGCTGGGAATGGCCGGGCACGAGGGGCATTAACCATGAATCACCCCCTTCCCCCGCGGAGAACTGCTACACCTACTACTTCTCTAGCATGACCCGAGCCCTCAGCCAACTTCGGCGATCACCAGAGGCCACCTTGGCTGGGGTTGGATGCCGCATCGGGTGCTATGCAGTGCCCACCCGAGAGCCCCCCTCGACGGCACCGCAGCCCCCTGGCTCTTGGGAGAGCAGGCTGCATTCTCAGTTCGTATTCATTCTGCCACCTGATTTCTCTCTTCTAACACCCGTCCCCGCCCCTCCCTAGTGTCTGGTGTCCAGGTCTCCGGCACCTTTGCCTCTAGCTCTTCTCTCCAGGAATTCCCGTCTTCTATTTCCTCTTTTCTCCTCCCACCAGCTCCCACAGAGCGAGTGGAGTCCCCCGGCCCTCCCTTCAGCATCCCCTATGATCCTGGCATGATTGGGAGCTCCGGGGTTCCCCTCCTCCTGACGCCCCCAGGGCAGATGGGGCTGCAGGTTCTGGGGCTGCAGGTTCTGGGCCTGCTCTCTGCTCGGAGGGCTGCGGGCTGGTTGCTCACGGAGGTCCCTCGAGGACTAGAACCCCTTCCCTCCGATGACAGCTCCGTGTCACCCTGCTTCGTGTGAGTAAGACTGTTCCCCTGGCTCTTCAGCGCCGGCACACAGTAGGTGCTCAGGCACCGCCAAATAAGTGAATGAATAAAATGAGTGAGTAACTACGGCTTAGACGCACCCTACTGTATGAAACACGGCAATCATAAGGCTTGACTAGATTCTGGAATTGGGTCCCCAAATTTTTGTGGCGCGCCACCCCTGTGCAGTGCTCCGCAGACGTGATCCTGAAAGGAGGTAGTGCGGTCGTGGGAGGCCTGCGGGGTCTGGAGCCAGGGCCTGTCTTCTGTGTTTGGGTTACTTAATGCGTGACTCTGGACAAGTCGGATGCCTCTTTAAACCTTCTTTCTTTATCCTTTAAGGAGGACGATGATAAGACTCATCTCACAGGGCTGTTGTGAAGATTCGATGAGATCATATTTGCGAAGTCCAAACTCTATATATGATGGAAATGTTAATATAACTCTAGACAAAGAACCTTTAAGCCGTAAGTCCGGGTTTCGATTTCCCAGCTCGCAGTGAGTTCACAGGGGACTCTTGTGCCTAATATGCACCTGGAATGGGCCCCAGGGCTAAAACTAGGCAAACGGATGAAGAAAGTCCCAATTTTAATCTCTAAAGCCTTGGCTAATTTTCATATGAGAACCAGCTTTCCACATAAGGTAGAAAGCTTAGTTTTCCTCTCCCTTCCAGCCAGGATCCAGTGGCAGCACCCTAGGCCCATGCGCTTCACCAGCTGCTCTCGCGGGCTGGGACTGACCAGCGACGGGCGCCGGGCAAGGCGCAGCGCAGACTGGAAAAGTGGGTGGCCTGCAGCCAGAGAGCATCCTGGAACCCAGGGTGGAGCGGTGGGGCTGGCTGGCGACGGGGGACGAGCAGGGAGGGGTGGGGGAGGTTTGTGGAGAGAATGTGTCCGCGGTCTAGGCGGGCTTCCCTGCCCCGGGAAGCCTAGGCCATTTCCCGTGTTGGACCCCTCTGCCAGAAATTCCTTTAGAAAAGCCCTGAGCCAGAATGCTCTGGGAACCGCGGGGAGCTCGGGCCGCGCCCGTCCGGGGGAGGGCAGCTCGTTGGGGGATGGGGAGGGTAGGGAGTGGAGAGGGGATCCCTGCAGGGACGGTTATGCTGCAGCCGAGGACCCCTGGAAAAATTTGGCTTCGACCCTTTCGAACCCCACCGCCCTCCGGGGCGGAGAGGGTGCTTCACAGGGTCAGAGGCCTCTAGGGGACAGCGCCCCCTTGCCGGCCGCGGGCGTCCCCACTCCGGCGCCAGCCTCTGGCGCCCTCCCAGAGCAGTTCCTGAGCAGAACGCGCACGCTGTGGGGCCGCGCCCAGGAACCAAGTTAGAAAGATACGCGAGCCCCCGGCTGCGCAGAGCCGGCAAGTTGGATTCCATAGACCGACGGCAAAAATTGAGAAAATAGCGGGGGCGAGGCAGAGAGAATACGTATCGTCATTTTTGCTTCTAATCGTTAAATTTCGTGCATTTCGTCCGGAAAGCCTAGGTTTTCCAGGACCCGAGGGTTTGCAGCCACATTGCTCGTACCCGCGCGGCCCAGACAGCGTGAGCTGTCTGCGTGCTGGAACCAGGCTCTTGCGCTCATTCCATTCTTTAATTTCTTCATTAATTAGCACCAATGCATTGATTTACTTGGGCAACTTTACACGAGCGTGCCCTGGTGCGGGCGACACTAAGGGATGCGGGGGTCAAATGTGATTCTGACCCCCATCGGGTCACTGCGACCTTCAATCCTCCGGAGCTCTGCACAGATCCCAAGCGTCCCCGAAGTCCGGAGCTCGAAGGTCTGAGCGAGAGGGCCAGGGCTGACGCCTGCTCCGGCCAGCGCTGGGCCCAGGACCGCGTCCAGTTAGCTGTTGGTCCAGAGGCTCATCGGTCGAGGCTCGGCGCGGTGAATCCGCAATCAGCCGAACCAAGAAGGAGGGAGACGTAGGGAATGCGGTGCGGGCGCTTGGACCCGCGGCGGGGTCGGATGGGGTTTCCCGCAGACAAGGGAGGCCAGAGTCAGAGAGACGGGTCCGCGTGTGACGACTCGGGGCCACAGTGGGCACCGTGTGCGTGCACCGTGCAACGACCCTGTCCGGCACACAGACCTGAGCCTTACTCTTCCGGTACGTAACGTGTAAACTGCGCTTTCTGTTCCTCTTAAATGACTTTTCCTTCTTTCTTTTCTTTACTCTTTCTTTTTCCGTTCCTCCTCCCCTGCTTCCCTCTTTCCTCCCCCCCCTTCTCTCCTCCGCCCGCGTCCCCCTCGTCCCTCCCCTTTCCCTTCCTCCTCCTTTTCCCTTTCTCTCCCATCTCTCTCATCTTGTTCTTTGGCTCTGTAGTTTGCTCAACATAGGTTTCCAGAAACACAGGACTTGAAGTAAAAAACCCCGAGTGCAAGTTGCATTTACCTGACCCCAACCTCAGTTTCTTCATTTGTAAAACGGGGATAAGATTTCTGATATATTTGTGAAAACACCTCATATATTTCAAGAACTGTGAAATGTTATAAAAATAATAAAAGGATGAACATTTAAATAAAATTAATAGGGTCGGGCCTCCAAAACTTTCCCCTCGAGCTTTCCTTATTCTATTTCCTTGTTCTATTCCAAAGTGGAGAATTTTGGTGGCCCCAGGGCCCCAGGGCCTTGGGCTGAGACAAGTTCCCCATTGCTACAGTGGGCTGGTGGAGCCACAGTGCGGGGCCCTCATCTTTGCAATGGTTTTGTGCATGTGTTTTGCTGGTGCTTTTTGTCCCTCACAGTAGGCTAGAGGTGGAAGTGATCACCGCCACCTTCTTTGCTCACGCTACCTTATCCAAACTTTATTGAGTCTTTGGAAGGCTGTTCTCTGGCTTGTCGGAGCCTCTACATAGCCCTCTACAAGGTAGGCAGCCCAAGTTTTAATGTTAAGCTGCTCCCCAGTGAGGCAGGTGAGGCTGCAGCAAGCGAGGGGCAGGCAGTGCAGAGACCTGAACATACATCTCTAACCCTGTGTCTTTGCTTCCAGGCTCCAGGCTCAGCTCCCAGCTCCCCACACTCACCAGAGCCCCACACCAGAGAGCAAGGCTTCTAACAAGCAGCTGGGTCCCCCCCTGCCCTTGTGCCTTCTTCACTCCCTGCTCTCCAAGGTCCCCTGGGCCTTTCTTCATCCAAAGTATGCTGAAATAAGTTCAAGGTAATGTGAAGAACAATGGGGCAGACCCTGTTGGCTATGGGTGAGGTGCAGGCTGGAGGGACAGGAAACCAGACCCAGGCCTGCGGGCCACCTTCTGGTCCAGCGACCACAAGCCCTGACTTCCCTTCAGAGAGCTGCACTCAGAGTCCCACTCTTTTAACCCACAGAAATATCTTCATAGTCATTTAGGAGAAATTCATCAAGGTCCCTAATTTAGCATTATTTGGGGGACATAGTCAACAACGCAGCATGGATTTGAGATGTACCTATAGGCTTACCCTCACGGACTGGAAGCAGGCAGGACACACGGGCACCTGGTCAGGGTTTTACAGCATCTTAGGTTTAACAGCTTTTCTGCTAGGGACTAGGGAGAGAGGAATAGGATTTTCAGATGGCATTGCTACTGCATGTGGGGAGTGTAGACCCCCTGACAACATCCAAACACTTCTGTAAGAGGGACTGAACAGTACCAAAATGCTAGCATTCAGAAATCCAAATTTCCTTGGGGTCCCTCAGATCAGATGCCCTGGTCACTATCGAATCTCCCCTGTATACCTGCTTGCTCATCTATGATTAATGGCATCTCCTAATGAATGCTGGGAACAACCTGGCCTTGGAGCCAGAAGATATGAGTCCAGTCCCATCTGCCATGAGTGCATGTGCACATCTGAGCAAGTCCCCTGTCCCGTC